GGGGTTTGGGGGAAAGGGCCGAGGACAGAGAAAGCCTATATAAGCATGGAAATACATGATACATTGAGCTCATGAGCCTGTGTTCTCCGGCCGGCACTTCTGGCACCTATCGCGGCCTGCCCCAAAAAGAACCTAAACCCTAAACCATAAACCNNTAAACCCTAAACCCCTAAACCCACTCAAGCCCCTCGCCGCACATCTGGATCCAAAGGCCGGTCGTCGGCCAAAGCCCTGGCAAGACTTCCAAGCGTGGAGTTTCAAAGCCTTCTCGGGTCACTCTTCGAAAGCGCATAGAAGGAAAACGCTATCGAAGAAGGCCATGTATCTTGAATGGCCCTCCGGCTTGGGCCGTGACTGGAGTCTACGAAGCTGGGCTCATGGTTTATGGCGAGTCCTAGGCTTGCAGCTTGGGGGTGCTTAGGGTTCAAGGCTCAGGGCAGGAAGTTGGTAAACCCTAAACCGTAAACCCTTTTTTGCATCAGGACTTGTGCAATCGCCTGAATGTCCGAGCTCCTGACTGCACTTCCATACCGTGCTCAGGAAAACTCGCAAACACACCGAAAACACACATGGTCGATAAACCGTAAACCCTAAACCCTAAAACCTGAACCCTAAACCCTAAATCCTAAATCCTGAACCGTAGACCCTAGACCCTTTCTGAGGTAAAGGGGAACGGAATTCTTCCCAAGGCTTTGGCAGGGTCTGCGCCTCTCTGCTTGGTGCATCGCGGGCGTAACGTCGAAGGCAGGCCTCCGCTAGTGCGAGATTCACACCTCCGACTGATTGATTTCTGACTCAAGAAGCTCGTTTCCTCAAAATTTTGTATGTGTGTATGTATACATATGTATACACACATACATATATCTATATATACAGATGCTACCCCCCTCCAAAACCTACCTCGAAGCCTCATTGTACTTTTAGACTACATTACGACTCCACTCCGAACAACAGTCTTGTATCTCGCAGCTGTTCAAACCAAGCTTAACGATAGTAAGTATTGCTTATTATCCCCTGTCCACAACGACGCAGACCTGCTCAAACCTAGAAAATGATGCTAAGTATTGCCTAGTATTCGCTCTCTACGACGACACAACAACGTCAAACCAAGATGATGATGATGATGATGATGATGATGATGATACTAGTGTTCCCTGTCTACAGCAACACAAAACTGTTCAAAACGAGTGTTTCCCATCTACGACGACACAACACCGCTCGAGCCAAGATAATACAACGAAGTATTGTCTAATATCCTCTGTATATTACACTATTAAACGGCAAGCTCCTCCTGATTTTCTGTATTTGAATCTCTATCCGTAGGGTATGCTATAGGGCTATAGGGTATTGCATAAGGTATTCTAAAGGGTATCCTAAAACGTGTTCTACATGATATTCTATGAGGTATATTTGAAGTATACAGAGGGTATATTACATAGGCGGTCTTCTGTAAGGTATTCTACTACAGGGTATTCCAGATGGTATTCTAAACGGCATTCTTTCAGGTATTCTATAGGATACTCCATCAAGTATTGTAGCCTCTTTTTCGGAAGTGGTATTCTATAGGGTATTCTATATGAAATTCTTTAAAGCGAAAAAAGGTATTCTATAAGGTATACGATAAAGTGGTTGTAAGGCTACTCTTCTTGGTTCTTGGCTTTCTTCATAGGAATCCCTTACCCAAACGCTATAATTCAACTGGGGGCTTCTCAGATCTTGGGCTCCGACTGGCTTCCATGTTTAAAATCCCTATCTATAGGGTGCTTTACAGGGTGTTCTATAGGGGAATCTACTGGGTATCCTATAATAAGGTATCCTGTAGGTTTTCTATATGCCATACATAAGGTATACAGGATGTGTCATATGTAGGCGGTCTTCCATAAGGCATTCTACAGGACACTCCAGATGGTATCCTATAAGGTACAGCTTATATCGGTGAAATTGTATACAGTATTCCATAAAGTAGTCTAAAAGGTATTCCATAGGTTATTCCACAAGGTATCGCAGAAGCTATTTTATAGGGTATGTATAGGGGTGGTTTGTAAGGATTCTGCTTGCTATATGTCTCCCTTACTAGGAAAGCTTCGATTTGTTCAAGGAGTTCCTAGATTCTAGATTTCGGATTTCCTTCATGTTAATATGAACCCCTTACCCAGTAAACTACAGTTCAACTAGGGAACTCGCAGATTTTCGGTATACGACGTAAAAGGGTATCATTCTATAAAGTACATCCGTGTTTTACACGAACTGGTTTAAGGTTTGTAGAATGGTATCTACAGGCTGTTCTCCTTATTAATCCTTTATTCATCATTTCTGTCATAGAAATCCCTTTCTCAACAAGCTCCAAGCTGGGCTCCTCCTGATTTCCCCTAGAAAAATCGTAATCTATAGGTTCTCTGTCGGGTATTCCAAGGGAGTTCTCAAGGGTATATATAGGGTATACAGCAAACATCGTGCGCAAGGTTTTCTATGAGGCATTGCTATAAGGCTTACATAGGGTATATAAGAGAAAAGCAAGGTATTCTATGGGGCATTCCATAGTTCAGGGTATTCCATAAGGTATTGAAAGAGCTTTATGACATATTCTATAGGCGAAAGGGTATTCCACAAGTTATCAGAGATCAGAGATGCCACGAAAAAGTTTTCCACGGCATCTGTGATCTCTGATCCGGCCCGGGTTTCGGTATAATACTGAAACCCGGGCGGGATGAGAGATCAGAGGTGCCACATGAAACTTTTCCACGGCCTCTCTGATCTCTGATCCGGGGCGGGGTTTCAGTATAACTCAGTATTTATCTTGAAACCCGGGCCGGATCAGAGATCACAGATGCCGTGGAAAACTTTTTAGTTACATCTCTGATCTCTGATCTCTGATCCGGCCCGGGTTTCAGTATAAACACCGAATTAGACTGAATATTACTGGGCATGATCCTGCATACACGGTCCCAAAATATGCTATCCATGTGTGCGTGGTCCCGTGTGGTGGCGTACATGTATACAGGAAGGCCTGGAGGCAGGTTTTGGGGAGGGGGGGTATCATATATATATATATATATATATACATATATGAGCATTGATCAATATTCCTGTTTCTGGAAA